AAAAAAAGAAAAAAAATCAGTGGCAGAGCGTACAGATAAAAAAAAAATATAAGGAATTAATACTCTAAAAAAAAAGGTAGCTCAAAATTTGTTTAAAAAAAAACAGATATTCAGAAAAATACGTAAAAAAAATGAAAAAATAATTCACAGAAGAAAAAAAAATGGCTGATAAGAATATAAGAAAAAAAAATCATCAATCACCAAAGACCTGAAAAAAAAAATCAGATATCATTTATCTCCAAAAAAAATTGTTTTTTTTTAATTGCAGTAAAAAAAACACACAATGCTACATTAGTTGAAAAAAAACAACATAGTAATTCCACAGCTAAAAAAAACATGCTCTGCTCCATGCGAGTAAAAAAAACTACAACCCTAGGATGCTACAAAAAAAAAGACTCTGTGCCCTATTCTGTAAAAAAAAACCCCTTGACTTATTTATTCTGAAAAAAAAAGCCTGTACCTCCCACTCCCAAAAAAAAATTTTGCCCACCCCACCAACTCAAAAAAAATTTGAGTCTGTTTCTGCTTTTAAAAAAAAGTTTGTTCCTTTGTTTTGTTTAAAAAAAACCACATATCAGTGAAATCCTAAAAAAAAATTTCTCTGTCTGGCTTATTTCAAAAAAAATAGTATCTTCTAGGTCCATCCAAAAAAAAACAAATAGCAAGATCTTATTCAAAAAAAAGGCTGAGTAATATTCTGTGTGAAAAAAAATGTGTGTGTGTGTGTTTCATCAAAAAAAACCATTCATCTCTCAATGGACAAAAAAAAAGCTTCCATATCTTGGTTATTGAAAAAAAAGCTACAATAGACATGGGGATGAAAAAAAATTTTGGAATTAGTGTTTTTGTAAAAAAAAGGTAAATACCCAGTAGTGGAAAAAAAAAATCATATGGTATTTCTACTTGTAAAAAAAAGAGGAGCCTCTGTGGCCGCACAAAAAAAAATTCCCACCAGTAATGCACAAAAAAAAAATTTTCTCCATATCCTCACCAAAAAAAAAACGTTCTTGTCTTTTTGATAATAAAAAAAATAACAGGTGTGAGATGATTTTAAAAAAAAGATTTGCATTTTTCTGATTAGAAAAAAAAAACATCTTTTCATGTGTTGGCAAAAAAAAGTCTTCTTTGGGAAAATGTCTAAAAAAAACCTCTGCCCATTTTTAATCAGAAAAAAAAGTTTTTTTGGTGTTGGGTTGTAAAAAAAATTTATATATTTTGGATATTAAAAAAAAAAAGAATATATCATTTGCAAATAAAAAAAAACATTCAGTAGGTTGCCTTTCCAAAAAAAAAAAATTTTTTATTTTGGTATAAAAAAAAAAGCTTATTTTTGCTTTTGTTTAAAAAAAATCTTGTGAAATTAGCAAAGAGAAAAAAAATAATAATATCAGCCTGGGTGAAAAAAAAAGAAACAGGCCTCATAATTGCTAAAAAAAATATAACTTTCTGGAAGGGGTCAAAAAAAATTTAAGTATTTCCCATTTTACAAAAAAAACTTAAGATAAATATTTAAAAAAAAAAAAAATGATTGATATACGAAGATATAAAAAAAAATGGTATATAAATGAAAAAAAAAAAAAAATTAACAAAGGGAGATTTGTTTAAAAAAAAATGATACATGTAAGTAGGAATAAAAAAAAGCCATTAAAAATTACATTTCCAAAAAAAAGTTTTTTAAAAACTGTATACAAAAAAAAATATAGTATGATTTCATTTATGAAAAAAAATACACATATGCTTATAAAATAAAAAAAAAAAATATATGGTTTTTCACAGTAAAAAAAAATTGAGTGATTTTCATTTTTTAAAAAAAACTTTAATATATTTCTAAATTCAAAAAAAAATGTTTGGATTTCTCTCTTAAAAAAAAAAAATACCTGGGGGCGCCTGAGTAAAAAAAATGGTTAAGCGGCTGCCTTCGGAAAAAAAAATGATCCTGGAGTCCTGGGATAAAAAAAAGCATCGGACTCCCTGCTCAGCAAAAAAAATGCTTCTCCCTCGGACCCTACAAAAAAAAATGCTCTCTCTCTCTATCTCAAAAAAAAAAATAAATAAATAAAATCTTCAAAAAAAAAAAATTAGAATACCTGTATGTGAAAAAAAATACATATACATATATACGCACAAAAAAAAGTATTAAAATATATATTAAATAAAAAAAATATATATTAAATAAATGTATTAAAAAAAATATATTACATATTATATATAAAAAAAAAAAAATATATGATATATATTAATAAAAAAAATATAATATATATGGGCTACATAAAAAAAAGTTTTAAGTGGGCTTATTCTGAAAAAAAACCTGTCAAAATAATGAACACTAAAAAAAATTTTAGTGCAGGTTGAGAGTAAAAAAAAAGCAAATTTGATCACAGCAACAAAAAAAAATGGGAGCATGGAACAAGTTCTAAAAAAAACTTCTGAATTAGGCTTGTAAGAAAAAAAACATTTGGAGACAGTCTGTTGTAAAAAAAAACAGCCCAACACAGTCAAATTAAAAAAAAAAAATATTTTTGTATGTCATAAAAAAAAATAAATACATCTTGCATTTAGAAAAAAAAAAGTGGTGAGGTCTTAACCCATAAAAAAAAAGGATTCTGTATTTTAGGGGCAAAAAAAATAATAGCGGGATTTTATTTGTAAAAAAAAGCTAATTTGTAGACATCGATGAAAAAAAAATCTTGTAACATCTTGCTGCTAAAAAAAAGTTGATAGGAGCTTCGGAAATAAAAAAAAAACGAGAAGGACACTGAGGTGAAAAAAAAAGCCCTCTCGGCCATGCAAGAAAAAAAAAAGCACCTGGAGAACAGTCTGAGTGCAGAGACGAGAATCAAGCTGGACCTGAAAAAAAAACTGGGGGATGCAAAGCGACAAAAAAAAATTGCCCAAGGTAGGAGAGCTGAAAAAAAAAGATGAAGTGGTATGGCTAAGAATGCACAGGGGCGCAGGGAGCAGAGGTCAAAAAAAACTCAGAGCCAAAGGCATCCAGAAAAAAAATTAAGTGGTTTGAGAAGTGCCAAAAAAAAATATTTAGGAATCATCACATTAAAAAAAATTGCAGACATATTTTGAGGTGAAAAAAAATCAAGTGCAGGGCATCCAGAGAAGAGTATGAGTTTCTGTGCTCAAGGAGCAAAAAAAATTGAAGAAAGAGAGCGCTGCAAAAAAAAAAAAAGGTGCTGGTGCTGCGGTAAAAAAAAGGTTGTGGGAACAGAGGGAGAAGCAGAGACCAAGCCCGTGTGGGAGTTCAAAAAAAAAGTTTCCCAGGGGAACAGATGTAAAAAAAAGGTTTTGAATGATGAGCAGGGGTCAGCCCAGGGAAGAAGCAGTGTAGGGGAAAAAAAAGCAGAGAGACCTGGAAGCAGAAAAAAAAACTTGGGCCAGGCCACGGAAGCTGTGTTCCGAGCCGCAGCTGGCTCTGCGTAAAAAAAAATGAGCAGCCTCTAGAGAGCCAAAAAAAAACTCAGCAGGTCTTTCATGAGAAAAAAAATGTGCCAGGCACTGTGAGGTCAAAAAAAAGGACAGGCAGCCACAAGCAAGAAAAAAAAGTAGCAGATGCTGATGGGTGCGGGGGTGGAAGTGAAGCAGTGTCAGGCAGGATGCGTGAGCGTGTCCCCGTGGGGGCGCAAAAAAAACGTGGTGGTGGTGGAAGATCCAAAAAAAAGGGAGCATTTGAGCAGAGGCTAAAAAAAAGAGAGTGAGTGAGCCATGTCAGTCTGGCCGGGGGGCAGGGGGGCGAGCCCAAAAAAAAGAAGGAGCACCTGGCAGCCGGAAAAAAAACAGCCTGAGGGATGGGCAGAGTTGTTGGAAGTCAGCAAGTCAAGACTGGCAAAAAAAACGTTCCGCCAGACTTGGTAGCAAAAAAAAGGAACTTTGGACTTTACTCTGAGGGACTCGGAAAGCTTTGGAAGGTTTCTAAAAAAAAGCATGACACAGTCTGATGAAAAAAAAAAAGGATTTTGTCCAAGAAATTGAAAAAAAAACAATAGGTTACTGAAAATATTAAAAAAAACTTGGACTTAGTAGAAGGAGTAGAATATTTCAACAGGTACTTAAAGAGCAAAAAAAAAATTGTACTAGAAGCTAAAGGGAAAAAAAAGATGAACAAGATGCAGTCTAGAAAAAAAATCGACTAGGGCAGTGGGGCTCAAAAAAAATGGTCTTAGGGACCCCTTTACACTGTTAAAGTTATTGAGTTCCCCAAGGAGATTTTTTCCAAGTGGGTTATATCTATCAAAAAAAAACTATTAGAAATTAAAACTTTAAAAAAAAAATTAATTCATCTTTAAAATAACATAATAAACATATAACTCAACATATTTTAAAAAAAAAATAACTATATTTTCCAAAACAAAAAAAATTTGAGAAAAATGGCATTGTTTTACATTGAGCAAATCTCTCTAATTTCTGACTCAGTAGATACTTCAGTTCTCATCTCTAAAAAAAAATTCAGTCTGTTGAAATTTTAAAAAAAAATTGTTTTTGGAAGACTCCACTAAAAAAAAGGAGGGAATGAGTGTGAAGAAAAAAAAAAATGTGTTAGTATTATCACGAAGCTGGTTTGGACCCTGCGGACCCTGTAAGAAAAAAAACACTTGGGCAAGCCAAGCAGAAAAAAAAACTGCCTTTAGGTAGAGGTAGGAAAAAAAAAAAGGCCAGAGCAGAGATCAAAAAAAAAATCATGAGGGAGGGGACATGGAAAAAAAAATGAAGGATGAATTCTGAGAACAAAAAAAAGCAGGGAAGAATGTTGTCACCAAAAAAAATCCTGTAAGCCAAGGCAAGAAATGCTGGGAATGTCCAGGTGAGCAGTCCAGTGGCTTCCAGCCGGAGGACATGGGAGATTAGGAGAACCATAAATGAAGCCATACTAGAAAAAAAATTCCCTAGATTTTCAGGAGGAAAAAAAAACGTGTTCTGGCCATCATTTTGAAAAAAAAATGTGAAAGATGGATTTGAAGAAAAAAAAGGGTGGACGAAGAGGGGCCTGAAAAAAAACGGTCACTGGCTTTTGTCTAAGAGGTGAGGCTTGGGGGCGGGGGGCAGATAAAAAAAACAGGGAGTGAAGGAAAGTGGAAAAAAAAAAGGGGTGTGGGAGGATGGAGTAAAAAAAAGCAGAGGAAAAAAGAGCAGGAAAAAAAAAAAGGATGAGAAGAGAGAATGAAAAAAAAAGGCGATGTTCTGATCTGGAGTAAAAAAAAGACGGCCAGGTGGAAGATTGTAAAAAAAAAGTGGGGATTTAGGGTCTAAAAAAAAAAAAGAGGCCAAACCCCGGGAGAGAAAAAAAATACAGAAGTTGTGAGAAGTGAAAAAAAAAGTAGGAGTGGCTTGGGTTGGCAAAAAAAAAGAGCAAGAAGAGCAGGCTGAAAAAAAAACGGATTACTGTGGACTCAGGGAAAAAAAATTAAAAAGAAGGTTCCTGGGAATTCTGCTTTCAGGCTAACTCCTGACCATAAAAAAAATTTTTTGCCCTCCTGGCTCAGAAAAAAAAGAAGTAGCCACCCCTCTCTGAAAAAAAAAATTGACTTGGATTTGTCCACTTGGAGGAGCTAGCCCCCAGAGTGAGGAGCAAAAAAAAGCGGGCTAGCCGAGGGGAGTTAAAAAAAACAGCGCAGGCTGCCCTTCCTTAAAAAAAAAGGAATTCCTGTAAAGCGACAAAAAAAAAAAAAAAAAAAAAAAAGCAAAGAAAAAAAACTTTTCCAAAGCTCTGGGAATAAAAAAAAGTTGCTGATTAAAAAAATCAAAAAAAAAACTGCCTGAAAAAAGAAAGATAAAAAAAAACATCTCTCAGATGCTGTTAGGAAAAAAAATCATCTGAAGCTTATTTTGTTAAAAAAAAAGGAGGCTATTTGATGCTTACAAAAAAAAGAGGGGACATGAAGGCAGTCAGGGGGCAGTTCCTTTCCATGGCTCTGCTGTCTTCCCCACTACTTCCCTCCACTGTCAAGCTCAGAATATTCTAATAAGGATCCAGCTTTGTAATTCAAATCAAACCCCTTGTTGCTTTTCTGCTTCCTACTTTCAATATCATTTGCTTCATCCCACTTCCAAAATGACTTTCATCTCTCTTACATTCTTTTTAAAAACGTGCCACCGTGCTCTCTTAACATTTCAGATACGTTACCGTCTTCCGTAGGAATCAAAATGAGTAAAAAAAAAATGCGACCTCTTTTTTTTTTAAAAAAAAGCATTTAAATTTCTGAGGGGCAAAAAAAAAGTGTTCTTCCCCAAGTAGACCAGGGAACTTCAAAGCGTGATGGAAATGACACGGGCTTTGGAACACGGGTGCTGGGTTAAAAAAAAGCTCTACCTCTTAATAACTGAAAAAAAAAGGGCAAGATACATAACTTGCAGAGCGTCAGCTTTCTACTGGGCCGGGCACTAGGGATCTAGCAGTGAATAAAGATGTAGAAAAAAAATCTGCCCTGAGGGAGCTCATAAAAAAAAAGAGAAATGAGGGACATGAGTCAAAAAAAAATGAGTAGTTACAAGAGACGGAAAAAAAATGTACAAAGGAGTGAGGACTCAAAAAAAAGACCGCATAGAGCCGGATCCTGGCTCTGTCATTCAACCTCTCTCTGCCTCAAAAAAAACATCTATAAAATGGATGATGATGATGATAATTCCCATGTCATAGGGTCATAAAAAAAAATAAACAAGTCTATGTAAACAAAAAAAAAGTACCTGGCTTCATGTGTGTTAAAAAAAATAATTATTTTTTTTTAAAGGTAAAAAAAATTTATTTGACAGAAACACAGCAAAAAAAAGAACACAAGCAGGGGGAGCGGAAAAAAAAGAAGCAGGCTTCCTGCAGAGCAAAAAAAACGATGCGGGGCTCGATCCCAGAAAAAAAAGATCATGACCTTAGCCGAAGGCAGACACTTAATGACTGAGCCACCCAGGCGCCCCAGCTACTGTAATTATTATCCTTATTAGAAGAAAGTGACAAAAAGGCAAGTGTAGAGTGTGTTGAGAATCTAGGAATTGGGGGAAAAAAAAGGGTCTGATTTAGAAGGGAGGAAAAAAAAAAGCCACGTGAGGAAGTGGAAACCTCAAGAGTGAACACAGAGAGAGCAGGAAAAAAAAGGAAAGGGAAGCGGCCCAAGGAAAAAAAAAGTTGGTCGGATCTAGAAACTAAAAAAAACGAGGGAGGGTGTGCTGCAATAAAAAAAAAGCATCCAGCCAGGGCACGATGCCAAGAGGCAGGGGCGAGTACGCTGAGTCAAGGGGGGGGCCCCGGTGCAGCTGCTGTAGAGCCTCGTGTATCTTCTCTCAGAGCATAAAAAAAAGGAGGGTGCTGGGACTGACTCAAAAAAAACAGTTGTTCTCTGTGCCTAGGAAAAAAAATCAGATATCCAGCCTCCCAGAAAAAAAAACCAGCTCAAGAGGTGCAGCCTAAAAAAAAAAATCACCACCTACGGCAAGCAAAAAAAAGCCGCTGCCGTGCTCAGAACGTGGCTCCTGGAAGTGACCTGTTTGTCACAAAAAAAAAAACAAGAGTCCCTTTTCAAAAAAAAAAAAAACCATGGCCCACAGGCCAAAAAAAAAAAGCTGCCTGTTCTTGCACCACCAAAAAAAAAAGAATGGTTTTTGTATTTCTAAAAAAAAAAAAAAAGAAAAGAAAACAACAAAAAAAATCTGTGGCTCATAATGCATAAAAAAAAAACTATTTGGCCCTTAACAGGAAAAAAAAAAACCCTTACAGACCGGCAGAGCAAAAAAAAAATGCACTTGGGACTGGCCCAAAAAAAAAGCATCGTGTTAGAGGAGCCCTAAAAAAAAACTAATGGTGGCTCTTTGATCAAAAAAAACAAATTCTTCAGAAAGACCAGAAAAAAAAGGACCTTAAACAGAAGATAGCAAAAAAAATGGCCGTCATGCCCAGCATAAAAAAAAAAGCCGCCACCAGCCCCCTGAGCAAAAAAAACCCCCACTACTCTTCCAAATTAAAAAAAACCAGCCCCTCTGGACTCGATCCCAATGCCTCTGTTTACCAGCCCCTGAAGAAAAAAAAACCAGCTGTGGGTTTTGCCCAAAAAAAAAGTTACCAGAAGGCACCACAAAAAAAAAAATCTGGCAGTCAA